GGGGTGAGGCAAAGAAGCTTCCAGAAAATGGAAACATTTCTATCAAGTAGGCAGCAGGTAGAGAATGGGTCAACATGGCCGAGCGTTTTGACTAAAGAGATGCTACTTTAAAGACTCTCCTAGCCATTTCTACATATTTCCCTTTAGAGAAAGAACATGCTTTCTGTCCCCAAAGGGTGATGATGGATTGTGGAGCGGACCAACGCAAAGACTCCCAAGTGCAGGGTCAGGGAGGAGATCATGTAGCCCCAGGCCCTCCCAGCCACTGGACAGCCCTGAACTTGCCGCCTCCCTCTCTGCCGAGGTCCCTCAGGTGGTCTCATTGTTTCTATTACCTCGGTAGAAAGAGTCTGTGAAAGCTCTGCCTGGCTGGCAGTCTGGTTGCCATGGAAACCTCCATTCCACACACCTGATTCACACATCACGCTTGGCTAAACCCAGACAGAGGTCCCAGACTGGCATTTGCCCTTTGTTTCCCGTCCTGTGTTTTCCAGGCACTTAAGTGGACAGCCTTGTACAAAAGCTCTGCTGGGAAGGGAAGAAGTTTGTGAGTTTCTAGGAAAAAGAAAGAAAAGAATTGGGCACTGTGAAGGGCAGAGCAGAGGTGTTGGGGATGTAGATCTGAGCTCCAGAGGCAATGTGGATCCTGGGATGCATCTGAAAGTGATTTTCTGGGTTTCCGGGTGAGCTTGGAAATGAGTCTATCGGATCCCGGAGCTCTGGCTCCTTAGGGCGTTTTCTGTCCCATTTCACTAAGTGCTCTTCGGGATGGCGGTGCGGGCGCTCGGCAGCCACAGCTGGCTATTAGGAACCGAAGGAAGGATCTAATAATCCATCTTTCACTTTGTCCACTGTTACAGTGTGTAGTGTTTTAGAAGGCAGACACAATTTTGAGGAAGTTCTCTCTTATTATAGTCTGTGTGTCTGGAGAGCTTCTGCTTTTCCTCTAATTTTCCCTTCCCTATTTTATACTTTTCCTGGACTTAGAGAAAGGGGCAATCAGAATCTGAATCATTAACCTTCCCCAACCAGAATTTCTACTCCATACCTACATTCCTTTTCTTTGTGTTCTTGTTTGTCTGTTTAGGGGACTGAGCCTAGGGCCTTTCACTTGCCAGGCAACTCAGTCACTGAACAGCGTCCCCAGCCTTGATTTCTGTTTCTAAGGGTAAATTTTAAAAATGATTTAAAAGAGAGAATCCAAACGACATTCCTGGGGACCTGACATCAGCCTTCACTCACAGTGGTTCAAATATCCTGCATGATTGTGAGGGTGCCTGACCTGTCCCTACAGCACACAGTTCAAGAAGTTTCTACAAGTGTTCACCTGCACTGACTTCCGTTGTCCTCTCATTTTTTAATACACCTCCATCTTAGTCAGCCTCAGTTTCCAAAGTACACACCATCAGCAGTCCACCACATCTGGGTTTAAAATACCAGTTCCCTGTGTCCTCGGACGAATTATTTTATTAATCTCGGTTTGCTCACCTGTGAAACAGTGTTCACGGGAAAAGGTTGCTGTAAGAAAAATATTAACTTTATATGTGCTTTACACAGGACCTGCCACTATTAGGATTGATATACTGCTAGATCCGTTTAGGAATAGCATTTATCTGGAAGCACGTTCTTGCTGTCTCTTTTCTAACTTTGGCCTACGTGAGGATATGTGGACTTAGTGTGTGGATGGTTGTTTGGGAGAGTAAATGACTGTTTAAAGCAACGGTATCTAGACTGTCCCTCTCTTGGTCCATTTTGTGACTCTCAGGTTCATGTGGCACCATATGAAGATGTGTACCTCTCGGAAGACAAGTCGCCACCCCATCCTAGTTCAACGGTGGCAGCGGCGGTGGTGGCATCCCAGCCACACTTCACAGGTCTTGGAGGTTCGAGTGAATTCTGCTTTGGTCATCTAAGGCCATTTTAACATATGCCATTTTCAGCTTCTTGAACGAACCCTCTCTCTCCCTCTTCTCTGGCTTCTCTTGGGCTCGTCCTTCCAGTGGCCTTCCTCCTCTGCCAACTCCTCCTCCTCTTCCTTTTACATCCATAGACTTTACTGCCTTAAGCGCTTTGAAATGGTCAGTGGCGTTAAGCAGCTGGCCCCTGTTGTTCAGTAATCATGACTGGCACCTCTGAAACTGCATCATTGGTCCAGATTGAGGCTGTTAAGCACTAACTCCCCATTCCTACCTCCCCACCTGCCCCTGGAGACCGCCATTCTCCTTACTGTCTCTGAAACTGACTGCTCTAGATCCATGTTAGAAATTATGTCTTTGCCCTTCTATACCTGGCTTGTTCCACTTAGCATAGTGTCCTCAAGGTCTGGCCGTGCTGGAGTGTATGCGAGAATTCCAGTATACTTTAAGATCAAATAATATTCAATTGTGCTTGCATATCACATTTTGCTTTTTCATTCATTTATTGATGGACTCTGGTTACTTCTGCATTTCAGTGTTTGCGGATAATGCTGCTGTAAACACGGATGAATTAAGGTCTCCAAGAGTCTGCTTTATTCCTTTCCATATATTTTGGGAGAACCGTGGAATCATTGGGAAACCGTCTACCCTTTTAATGGGACTGTCCTGTTGTTCTCCATCGTGGACGCATCTCACGCTCTAACCAGGAGTGTTCAAGGGCTCCAGTCTTATTTATGTTCTCACTAACATGTATTTTGCTTTAAAAATATTAGTGTTGGGGCTGGAGAGATGGTTCAGCAGTTGAGAGCACTATCTGCTCTTGCAAAGGACCTGGGTTTGATTCCCAGCACCCATGTGGTGGCTAACAACGGTAACTATAGTTCCAGGAGATCCAACGCCCTCTTCTGACCTCTGCAGGCACTGCATGACACAGGTGCACTTAGATATATGCAGGCAATACAATCATACACATAAAATAAAAATAATAAATAAAAATATTAGTATTATTGGTGATTATGAAATAGCATTTCTGTTACAGTTTGATTTATGTTTCCTTAATAGTTAGCCATGCTTTGCATCTTCTTGCTTGTATACATATATTTTAAAAATTTTACTTATTTTTTTATTATGAGTATGTAGTGTGCCTGTGTGAGTTTATGTGCACTACGTGTGCTCAGTGCCCATGGAGACCAGAGGGGGGTGTTGGATCCCCTGAAACTGGAGTTACAAGTGTTTGTGAGCTGCCTGATGTGGGTTCTGGGAACCCAACTCAGGTCCTTTGAAAGAACAGTAAATGGTTCTTAAACATAAGTGTTCATAACCACTCCAGTCCCTCACTTGCATGTGCATGCATGTGTGTGTGTGTGTGTGTGTGTGTACATAAATATATATATATCAGTGCAAATGTTTTGCCTATTTTTATTCATTTTTTTTATTGTCATGAACTTTAACTCTTCTAAGATCAATCTGAACATCAATACTTGGTCCTCAAGTGGAGAACCATTTAGAAGCAGAGCATTTCTGGAAGGCCTACTGGGGGCGGGCCTTGAGGCTTTGTAGCCTGCCTACTTCCTGTTCACCCTTGGCCTCCTGACTGTGGATGCAATGTGGCCCCTCTGTCTCCTGCTACTGCTGCTGGGCCTTCTCCACCTGCCACGTTGCTTCCCCACCATGATGTAATTATCTAAAGTGGAGTAAGAAAAAAACCTTAAATTGCTTCTTCTCAGGTATTTGGCCACAGCAACAAGAAAAGTAACTAATACCAGGATTTTTTTCTGCATTCTCTATTTTATTGTGTTCATATATGTGTGAACTTTGTCAGTGCCTCAGTGCTTTGATTGATAGAGCTGCGTTATGATTTCTGTGTGTCTGTGTGTATGCATGATGAGCGTGTGTGTGATTATGCATGTTCACTTGTGTTTGTGGGTCCACATGTATATACGTGTGTTTGTGCGTAAGGACCCAAGGCTGGGTGTCTTTCTTCATTGCTGTCCACTTTATATCTTTAGCAAGGTTGCTCAGTTGAACCCAGAGCTCACCGATCAGCTGCTCTAGCTCTCCAGTTTGATCTGGGTGTTCCCTGTTTCTGCCCTCTGAGGACTGGGATTATGGGCAAGGCCTCTGTGCCCACCTAGCATTTACATGGGTTCTGAGGCTTGGTCTCTCTCTGGTCCTCATGCTGGCACAGCACGTGCTCTACCCACTTCACCATCTTCCTGGTGTGTGTTGTAAGTTTTGAAATCAGGATCTTTGTGTTCATCTAGTCTTGTCTTTTTCAGGACTGTTTCGATTTTTTTTAATGGTTCTCTGAATTACAAATGAATATTAGGGAGTTTTTCTATTCTTGCAAAAAATGTCACCGGAATTTTTATATAGATTTCCGTTCCTAAAGTCAGCCATCTCTCCAGGGCATCTTGGCTTATTTTATTAGAAAATTACATTTATAGGTCAAGATCAAGACTCGAGCAATTCTCTTTACTGTTGTTGTGATGCTTTTTCAAAGATCTACCAGAAGATACAGGGTACATCTTCCTAATTTTTTAACCATGTTTTTATCTATGCAGTATATGCATATATTCTAAAAGTATTATTTGATCAAAATCATTGTATTAGTATCAAACATTAAAAATCAAGCAATTTATATAAATATAAGACAAATTTGGGACAGGAGATGGCTCAGCAGTTAAGAGCACTGTCTACTCTTGCAGAGGATCTAGCTTAGAATCCCAAAACCCATATGGTGGCTGACAACCATCTGTAACTCCAGTTCCAAGTAATCTGATGCCCTCTTCTCTCCTCCACAGGCACTGCATGACACAGGTGCACTTAGATATATGCAGGCAATACAATCATACACATAAAATAAAAATAATAAATAAAAATATTAGTATTATTGGTGATTATGAAATAGCATTTCTGTTACAGTTTGATTTATGTTTCCTTAATAGTTAGCCATGCTTTGCATCTTCTTGCTTGTATACATATATTTTAAAAATTTTACTTATTTTTTTATTATGAGTATGTAGTGTGCCTGTGTGAGTTTATGTGCACTACGTGTGCTCAGTGCCCATGGAGACCAGAGGGGGGTGTTGGATCCCCTGAAACTGGAGTTACAAGTGTTTGTGAGCTGCCTGATGTGGGTTCTGGGAACCCAACTCAGGTCCTTTGAAAGAACAGTAAATGGTTCTTAAACATAAGTGTTCATAACCACTCCAGTCCCTCACTTGCATGTGCATGCATGTGTGTGTGTGTGTGTGTGTGTGTGTGTGTACATAAATATATATATATCAGTGCAAATGTTTTGCCTATTTTTATTCATTTTTTTTATTGTCATGAACTTTAACTCTTCTAAGATCAATCTGAACATCAATACTTGGTCCTCAAGTGGAGAACCATTTAGAAGCAGAGCATTTCTGGAAGGCCTACTGGGGGCGGGCCTTGAGGCTTTGTAGCCTGCCTACTTCCTGTTCACCCTTGGCCTCCTGACTGTGGATGCAATGTGGCCCCTCTGTCTCCTGCTACTGCTGCTGGGCCTTCTCCACCTGCCACGTTGCTTCCCCACCATGATGTAATTATCTAAAGTGGAGTAAGAAAAAAACCTTAAATTGCTTCTTCTCAGGTATTTGGCCACAGCAACAAGAAAAGTAACTAATACCAGGATTTTTTTCTGCATTCTCTATTTTATTGTGTTCATATATGTGTGAACTTTGTCAGTGCCTCAGTGCTTTGATTGATAGAGCTGCGTTATGATTTCTGTGTGTCTGTGTGTATGCATGATGAGCGTGTGTGTGATTATGCATGTTCACTTGTGTTTGTGGGTCCACATGTATATACGTGTGTTTGTGTGTAAGGACCCAAGGCTGGGTGTCTTTCTTCATTGCTGTCCACTTTATATCTTTAGCAAGGTTGCTCAGTTGAACCCAGAGCTCACCGATCAGCTGCTCTAGCTCTCCAGTTTGATCTGGGTGTTCCCTGTTTCTGCCCTCTGAGGACTGGGATTATGGGCAAGGCCTCTGTGCCCACCTAGCATTTACATGGGTTCTGAGGCTTGGTCTCTCTCTGGTCCTCATGCTGGCACAGCACGTGCTCTACCCACTTCACCATCTTCCTGGTGTGTGTTGTAAGTTTTGAAATCAGGATCTTTGTGTTCATCTAGTCTTGTCTTTTTCAAGACTGTTTCGATTTTTTTTAATGGTTCTCTGAATTACAAATGAATATTAGGGAGTTTTTCTATTCTTGCAAAAAATGTCACCGGAATTTTTATATAGATTTCATTAAATCTGCAGAATACCTTGTATGATGTTGGCATCTTAGCAAGATTGTTTCAATCCATGAACATGGGATGGACATGGATGGACATCCATTTATGTCTTTAATTTCTTTGATCCCTACTATTTGTAACATATATCTTTATCTTTATAATCACTATGTATTTATTTTATACTACTAAATGGCAGTATCTTTATGATTTTCCTTTTGAGAGTACTTATTGTTTCTATAGAGAATGCAGAAATGATTTTTGTGTCTGCCATACCATGCTCCCTTACTGAATTTAACAGTTCCTGGTATGTGTTTGTAATGTTTAAACACACACACACACACACACACACACACACACACACACACAAGATTCTATCACCTAAAAATGTGTTTTCTTTTTTACCTTCCAGAGTGCCCTTTGTTTCCTTTCCTAAGCCTTCGGTTCATGTGGAGTAAAATGGAGTAAAGTAAGCATGTTTTTCTTCGTTCCTTGTTCTTAGCCTTGGGTTTTTTAAATTTTTTGTTGTTTGGTTTTGAAATAAGGTCTCACCATGTACCTCAGACTGGCTTCACATTTACTGTGTATTTTAGGATGGCCTTCAACCCATGATCCTCCTGCCACAGCCTCCCGAGCACTATGTCTGGCTTGTTCCTGATAAGATCTTTTGTCATTGGGTGCAATGTTTCCTGTAGTTTCTTCATGTATAGCTTTAACTGTGTTGAACTGTTTCCTTTTGCTTCATAGTTTGTGGAGTGATTTCATTGAGAATGGATGTCAAGTGCTGCAGTGGTGGCGCATGCCTTTAATCTGGAAGACAGAGGCCAGTGAGTTCGAGGCCAGTCTGGTTACACAGAGAGTTCTCAGCCAGCCAGCGCTATATAGCTACATAATGAGACCATATCTCCAAAATAAATAAGTAAGTAAAATAGAATAGATATTGAACTTTTGTCAGTTAATCTTTCCGTATTACTTGAGGGATCATGTATAATTTTTGTCCTTTTCTGTTAATGTCACATATTATGTATTGATTTGGTATATTGAACCATCCCTGCTTTCCAGGAACACGTCCTACTTGGTGTGACACTCCTTGCCTTATGCTGCAGAGCTGAGTCTGACAATACTTTATTAGGGAAGCCTGCACCAGTATTCCTGAGGAACATTGATCTGTAGTTTGCTATCCTACTGAGAGAACGTGGCTTCAATATCAGGGTAACCCTTAGACAATGTGTTGGGAAGTATTCCATCCCTCCTCTTCAATTGTTTTTAAATGCCTGTAAAGGGCTGGTATTGTTTTTTAGATGTTGGCAGAAAAGCAATCAGTTGAATAAAAGGAATCTTTATATTAACAATGAAAAGAAGCTTTGGGAGGCTGCAGGGTCTCCAGATTAGTTGTATCGCTGTCTGACAATTCCTTGCAGTGTATGGACTTGATCCTCTGTTCTAAGTCCTTACCACAAGACAGAAGGCTGAGTCTGGCCTGGGCTGTGTGGCCTGGCCAGCAGCCTGTCTCTTTCATCCTGTAGGAGTTCTGGGTGATTAGTAAGCATTTTCTCCCAGCAAATGACTCAGAATGAAATGTAGTTCCAGATACAGAAGTTATTTCAAAAAACAGCCACGCTTCATTTATTTCCAACCATTTTGGTTCTCTAGTTCTATGTTGATTTAAAAACATTAAGACTGATCTTCAGTCAACATTTTAAATCTTTTTTCTTTTTCTTTTATATCCATCCATCCATCTGTGTACATCTGTGACACACTCTGACCAGTGCAGTCTAATATAAATATGATACAAGTTACATATGTGATTTTTAAAAAGAAAAGGGACATTTATTTTAACAATGCATTTTATTTAACCTAACATGCCTAAATATGATTTCAGTATTTAGTGAGTACGAGTAATTAATGAGGTATTTTGATTTATTTTTCATGCTACATCTTTGAAATCCACTGTGCATTTTAAATGTGTGCTACATCTCTGTTTGGACTGGCCACATTTCAAGTGCTCAAAGGCCAGGCATCTGGCAGTCCTCTGATTGGTCAGCCTAGAGCTAGCCTATTTGGTTCTGAGGACAGAAAGTCCCTCAAAAGGTCAGTCTTCACCTTTGCCTAGTGGACAGGGCAGATCGATAAAACATTAATAATGGTCTTGGGCACTTGGGGCGGAGCTACACATAGAGTGTTGGAAGTGTAGAAGACAGGCTCAGAGTCTGACCTGTGAGCCAGGGCCTCTGGCAACAGACAGATTTTTGCACTAAATATCATTTCTTTGAAGTAGTCCCCTGTGGGAGGCCACTGAACTGGAGTTTGGCATGGATCCCAGTCTATCAAACATTGACTTTTTGCCTCATGCTAGGAGAGCCACTGGCAAGTTCACATTTACTTATAGACTCTGCAGTGGCCACAGGTCTGTGAGCTGGGGTGTCACTGTCCCAGACGTGTCTGCTTTCCCTTCCAGCCTGCCTTTCGGTCTCCAGGCTGAGCCACTCACCTGTCAGAGACATTGCCACCCCACCAGGCATACCACCTTGTTTTCCTTTCGCAGCACCAGTGGAGTTAGAAGTATGGCATGAGGGAAGGAATGGAAGAAAACATTCTGATTTTCCTTTCTGTCCAGACTTCCTTCCCCTGCCCTGGGAGGCAGCCCCAGGAGCTCTCACTGTACTGGAAAGGTCATTGTGTGGGCTTCACTCCATCTAACCTGCCTCTACCCTGCTCCCCACATCACCCATCTTCTCTAGGAGTTGCAGAGGCCCCTGATGGGGATGGTGTGGCTCACACAGTTAAGCAGGTCTGTGCATCTCCACAGACTCCCTGTGTGGGGGAGTGTTACCGAGGTGTTTACAGACATCCATCCAGGAAGTGCTAGGGAAGAGGAGGAGCTGTTTCCACTTATCCTCCCACCTCCTTTTGGCTTTCTTTTCTGGCATTTCCTTCAGCCCAAAGAGGCATGGGGATTTGGCAGAATGGAAGTAGCCCGTTGTACTCACCCCTCCTTATTCCCTCCTAAGACTTTGCACTAGCCAGGTCCCTACCACTCAGAGCATGCAAATTCCCCTACCCACTGCTGCAGTGGGGACGAGGCTCAGAAACATGGTCCTTTCCAGGACATGAGTGATGCACAGGAAGACAGGGCCAGATGAGCTAAGGGAACGGAAGCCAGAATCTTACCAAACTCTTGCAGACGGCAGTTTTAACTGCTAGGCATGCTGATCTGATGAGGAGACTGGGGTTGGGGAGGAATGTACAAGTTTCATTCGTGGTAGGTGAAGTCAAGGTGAGTAGGGTATAAGGGAGAAATAGTAAGTTTAGGTCCTCTGGACTCTCTGCTAGCATGTATTGGCATGGTAACTGATCAACTGATACAGTTGTTGGTGTGGTCTAAGGCTCTGATCTCACACCAGCTAGTCTCATTTTTAAAACTTTATGTTATTGACAGATTGGGGAGAGGAATTCTGTACAGTTCCTCATTCCCAGAAGAGTCAGATCAGGGGGTAGAAAATCCTCACCAACCTTAATTATCACCTAGAGAGGAGACCAAAGTCAAAGTTCAAGTACAGGAAAACAGTCAGGTGCGTGGCTCATACCTGGACTCCTAGGACCCAGGAGGCAGAGCTGGGGGAATTTCGAGGCCATTGTCTGTCACAAAGTGAGCTGGAAGCCAGTGTGAGCTTCCTGAGACCTTGTTTGGAAAACAAAAGAAGAACAACCAAAAAGAAAAGCTAAGGGACCAGAACAATGATTCCCATGAGCCCGCTCTCAAAAGAGAACTCAAGATCGGTCTCAAAATGCCTGGTAACCAACACCATTCATATGAAAAGGGAGCAGGTAAGTTTAAAGAATTAACAGGAAACAAAATCTGAGAAAACTGGAAAGGCCATATAGGATTGGGATATCACACACGTGTACGTGTACCTCTATTATTTGACAGTTTCACACATTTGTACAATGAATTTTAGTTATTTTCACCCTCCATCCCCCTCTCTCATCCCCTCTCTCTCCTGCTGGAAACTTACTTCTCAACAAGTCCCGTCCTACCTCCATGTCTTCCTTTCGTGTGTGACCCACTGAGCTTAGAGTTTCTTGCCTGAGCATGGGTAAAAGGTTATTTAGTGGAGCCTGGGTAAGTTATCAGCGGCCACACCACTGAAGAAAATGACATGCCCTCCTCCAGTGATGGTCCATAGTCACTTTGGGAGGGGCAGACCCTCATGAGCCGTTTCCTCATTAATAGCTGCAGTGAGTTCACAAGCACAATGGTGTGTCAAGTCCCTTGGACATCTTTTTGATGCACATCTCCTCATCCTCTGGCTTGTCTGTTCTCTGGTCCCCTCTTTGGCAGTGTTCCCTGAGCCGCAGAGGAGGTGGTACAGCTGTCCCACTGAAGACCAAGCACGCCACTATCACTTATCGGTGCTGTGGGTTTCTACATGAACCATTGCCTGGTGCGGTATGGAACTTCTATGACCAAGGTTGTGAGCAACACTAGTCTCTGAATATGAAAGTGAGTATTTGAAGGTAGTTTGACAGTATGACCATTTACTCGAAACAATGGTAATGGGTTCCCCCTGCCCCCCTTAGCCCATGATCTTCCCAGCCGTGGGCTCTTGAACTGGTTTATAGAAGTAGACATGATAGCAGGCCTCAAAGCCATTCAGAAAGCAGTGGGTTACGCTCATAAGCGTTATGGGACTGTTGTACCAGAAGGTGCATCTTGTTTGGCATCATTATGGTAGTTGACAAGGTTCACAGCTGGCTAAATCTAGTGATGACTTGTCCCACAGCAGCCTGCACAACACCTTCTGGCAGGCAGTTGGGAGGAAGCTTCCACCTCAGCCCCAGCTTGATTTCCCTGTGTGTGCTGTGTCTCCAGCAATAGAGCCTTACTGTGGAGTTCTGGTGGGAAAACCTTGAGCGATAGCAGTTGCCTGTATTATTTGGGTGGGGGTGCAGGGGTGTCTCCCTAGCAAACAGTCCATAGAGCAGTTCCCATACTTGGAACTGGGATTTTCATATACTAAACCGTGGGTTCCAGGAGGACAGTTATCCACCAGTGGAGGATATGGCCATTCAAATTCCTTTTTTTAGAGTATGTTTTTCAATAAGGTTGTAAAATAGTAGATTTTTATATGACTTTCCATGTGTCTTTAGTTTGGGCTACCCTTCCCTCTCCCCATCTCCTCTTCCCTGTCCCCCATAACCCTGTTCTTGCTTAGACCGTTCGCCCTCAAAATTCCCTGCCTTTCCACTTTCATGTCCAGTGTGTTTTACTGACACCCTCCCTCCCTCTAATGACTCCTTTCTATATTTCTGGCCTTTATCAGCACACAATGTTAGGCATAGTACTCTAAAAATGCATAGCTAAGGGTCTACGTGTAAGGGAGGATGTGCACCTCTCTGGGCCTGGGCTACCTCATTCTGTATAATATTTTCAATATCCATCCATTTCCCTGAAAATTTCATAATTTTGTTCTCCTTTACCACCGAGTAAAATTCCATTGTGTCTACCACATTCTTATTTTTTGCTGGAGTTTATAAAAGATAGTCATTGTGGCCGATGTAATTCGTGGCCATTCGCATTTTGACATCTAGATGTTTAATGTTTTGTACAGTTTTTCAAACTACACTGAGTGGTAGTTTAGCTTTTTCAACAGATCAATAGCTGAAGCAGAGACAGCTGACCTTGACCCTGGTTGTGGTCAGATGTTCACTGAGAGACCTCCTGTGCAGTCAAGAGTATAGCTCTGGGCTTGAATCTTGGATTCATCATTAATGCCATGTATGTTCCTCAACCTCCATTGACCTCACTCTTTTCTCTAAACTTGGAATGACAAATGTATATTCATGTACAAGCATGAAGGCATTTAGTGCCTGAAAAATACTGAACTTTGAGGAAATATTAATTACTATTATTACTTTAGCTGAAAATTCTGTTTTGATGGCAAGAAATATTGCCTTGTTTAGCTTAGCCAGTTACAAAGTGATACATCGATATGTAGATTGCTTAATACTTTCTTTAACCTCTTTGGAAAACTCTTTAATTATGTATATTTTGTCTGTGTAGCACTGCAGACTTGCGTTCGCTCTCAATGTGTGTGTGTGTGTGTGTGTGTGTGTGTGTGTGTGTGTTTGAAGGCCAGTAATAACCCATGAGGTGGAGCTACCAGAACACAGTCTTTCCCTATGGCAACCAAAAGAAACCACAAAATTAAAGAAAAAAAAATGAGTTCCGTAATTGGCTTGGATGTACAGGAGGGGTGTGAAGATTATGAAGCTTCTGTGGGTTCTGGTGTTGTTAGTCCAAGGTATTGGGGGAAGGTTCAGAACTCCTACTGAGTGACTAAGCTGTATTTGCTGCTTGCTTTGAAGTAAGTTGGTCAGAAGCACAAGAGGGAGGAGAAGTTGAGGTTTGATGAAGGAGGGTCATTATTAATGTTTCCATGGCCCTTAGCAGTTTAAAAGTTGGGAGTTTACGGAAGGTTGTCAGTTGTGGGGACAAGCAGCCCACAAACATTCAGACATGGTCAAAGTTTTGTCTCTCAGTCTTTTCTTTTAATCTGAAAATAGAGAGGCAAGGATTCTGAATCACACAGCTGAAGGGTCACTTCCTAACAGTTGGGATGGTAATTACTCAGTGTTCAGTTCATAAAGGCACAGGATCCAGACAGCAACTCCGTTCCCCTCGTAGTTCAATGACCTGCAGCTTGTTTTTCTCTTGAGAGAAGAAAGACTGGTATGATACTGGATTTTAAAAGCACCCCCCTTTTTTCCAAAAGTAGGTATATTTATTGAACCCCCCCCAAATCTAGATGTAACCAAAAGTAGTTACAACCAGTGAACAGTGCTGCTCTTTCCCAATAGCCATAAAATGATATCTCCACACCTTCTGTTTATATCCATATGGAAATGAACATACAAGGCTTTGTTTATGCTGTTGGAGGGTGGGACTGACTTTTCCATGGGAGGTTTTGCCCTCTTGATTCTAGAACAAAGATAGGTAAAACATTAGCGTCACTATAGTGCTTCCTGAAAAGGTAGGCTAAACTCGTGTATTTTCTTGGTGTATTTTCCATGAACCCAGGGCTGCATGTATTATAGTTCTAACACTGAGCTACATACTTAGCCCATTCATTTTGTTTTATTTCTATAAAAACATATTTATTTTTATGTGTATGAGTGTTTTGCCTGCATGTATGTAAATGCACTTATGTGTGCACTACCCACAGAGGCCGGAAGAGAGTCAGGTTCCCTGGAACTGGGAGTCATAAATGATTTTTAGCTACTATGTGGGTGCTGGGAACCAAACCCCGGTCTTCTGCAAGAGCAGCCAGTGCTGTTAACCACTGAGCCATTTCTCCAGCCCCCATTTTTGCTTTATTTCTAAAAGATGATTATTTTCTCCTCCCTCCAGAGAGACCAAAGAGACTGTCAATCCAGTTCCTCCGCTGCAGTGGTAACTTGGACTTGGAAGGGAAACTTCCCCAGTGTCCAAAGTACAGTCACCTCTCCTGCTCTTTACGGAAACCGAGGACAGAGGGAGTGATAGGCACTTTCAAAATTAAGTGGGTGCACAAAGCTTTTGACCCCTGGAGTCAGGAACATTGGATTTGGATCCAGTCTCTTCCAGTTACGTAGTGCATCCTGGGGCATGATTGATACTACTCGGGTTCTCCCTTCATCCTTTGCCAAGTAGTGAAATGATACCTGTTTCGTGTGGTTGTTGGTTTAGATGAGTTGTGATGTGACAGTTTGTCACATGACACTGAATAGACAGGGGCAGGAAGAACAAAGGATTAGCAGACTGAGTAAATACTTGGTTTCATTGACTCCTAAATTATTAAGAGTGGGCTGGAAACCCACAATCTTGGTTGTCTGACCTCCATCAACTCTAATTGCCTCAAGGCCCCCAAATTGCTATTGGTAAAGGCAGAAATCAATAAAAACAAAATCCATAGCCATATCCTTTGGGCTCAACCTTTTTATTCACGGTGGTCAGCTGGGGGGCATTAACCTTACTTTGACCCGGAAAGCTAAATAAGTGAGGTATAGTTTTTCTTTTTTATTTATCCTTTCTGGGAATTTTACATTACCAGTTTCCGTCTTGGTAAATTGTGGGAGCTGGGAATTCCTTCCTAATGTTGGCCTTTCTCACAGTCGTATACTAGGAAATAAAATTTGAAACTCTGGAAGGAGAAGTGGTGAGAGGCATAACTTCAGAAGCTCAGAGATTTTGCAAAGCCCTGTTCTACATTTCTGCCCTTTTCCCCGTCTCCCTGCAACTTGGGAAACAAAATCTTCCTTTCAGGAATTTTCTCCTTATCTCCTTGTTCAGAACAGTGCTGCCAAACCTTTCTGGGCTTTACTTTTCGCTTCTTTCTCTTTGTTTTGTTTTTATCTCTTTTGAAGAGTGAGTTGAGCATCTCACGGCACCAACAGCCATTCTGTGCTCAGCTCAGTGTTGGATGATTTCTTGGTGAGTCTGCATGTCAATAGTACCACATTCGTGGCTTCTCCCTCAAGGATTACTCCAGTACAATAGCCAGTGCCTCGTCTCTCCTAGACATTCCTGGTCTTGCCCTAAACACCACATCAGCCCTATCAGGCTCCCTGATGAACTCTGAAAACACACTGTTAACATCTGACCAGGAAGGAAGGAATACATGTTCTGACTAAAAATGGTAGACATTATATAAAAGTCCACTCCAAAGCTAGGCATAGTGGTACATGCCTATAATCTCAGCACTTGGGGAGGCTGAGGCTGGAGAATCATGAGTTCAAAGGCACCCTGGACTACATAGTGAGACCATGTCTTGAAACAACAACAAATTTTATTCCAGTGACATAATCGAAAATTTAGTGACAGGTCAAGATTACAGATCTGGTCTTTGCTTGTGATGCTAGGTAGAATTATAAATATGGCAGAGTAACTTGACGTCTGTGAACCTCACCTCCTTATTCATAAATCAGATTCTGGACTAAGTCATGAAGACTTCTTTGTCATGATTCTTTGCCTATGTGTATAATGCAGCTGTCTGTAACTATGTTTTAGGGATCACAGTATTCCAATTTTGTACTCCCCAAAGAATATCATGGGTTATTGAAGACTGATCACTCCTCCTAATATGATGGTACTCAAAGCAACTAATTTTCCACTACTGAGTAGTCTGCCCCACCCAGTGGAGGAGAGAGGTCAAGACTACATGCCTCATAAAAACAACCAAAGAAATGGAATGAAGGCATGGTGTGTTATAGTCTCCTGGGTCTTTGGAAAGGGAACTTTACACTGGAAGATGAGCTTAGGTCATGAGTAGTATTGCTTTAGAAGAATATTTTGGGAAATTTTAAAAATGGAATCATCCTGGGCCTGCAGAGATGGCTCAGCTGTTATGACCATTTACTGCTCTTTCAGAGGACCCTGGTTGGGTTCCTAGCACCCACATGGGGGATTGCAGCCATTTTAAGTCAAGTTCTAGGAGATCCAGTGCCCTCTTCTGGTCTCTGTGGGCTCCCATATGCACAGAGTGCACATGAACTCACACAGGTTCACATATAAACACAAAAACAACAAAAAAGAATCTTTTTACAAAATGGAAGCATCTAATAATGGTGTTTTTAGGTCTTCTCTGAGGACAAGAGGGTTTTAATTGCCCTTCTGTCTTTCTCTCAATGTAGCAAGCATTGAAAAGCTTCTCTAACTGAAGCTTCTGTTGGTAGTTTATGGAATCTTTTAAAAAACTATTTTATCATTTTTATTTTATGCACATGAGTGTATTGCCTGCATGTGTTTATTGCACCCATGTCATGCAATGCCCATGGAGGTCAGAAGTGGGCATCGGATCCTCTGGAATTGGAGATATGGACGGTTGCTAGCCACCATGTGTTTGCTGGGAACTGAGCCTGTGTCTTCTGCCAGAGCAGCCAGCGCCCTTAACCGCTGAGCCATCTCTCCAGCCCTGCTTATGGAGTCTTCTGAGCAGAACTGGAGAAATAGTACCTGAGTGCTTTGGAAGCCAACAGATCTCTAGTTGGAAGGTAGATGTATTCCCTTAGATAGACCCACACGGAAGCCTACTCCTCACGCTGATGAGCCAGACTGTCTTGTTTGATAACAAGCACTTGCAGAACAGCGGTTGGTTCTGATGAGCCTTCCACAGAGCCACCAAAGGCATAAGCTTTCCACTAGTGGGGAACCAGCTAAATCAAGCTGCTTATAACTGTGCCTACATTTCCAACACAAACACCCAATCAGGGGTCCATTGTTTTTATATTAGCTTACTTGTGACATCACACAGGAGCTTTCTTGTTTCAGTCAGCCTCATCCAGATCCTTCATCAGACAAACTTGTTTCCTGATGGTGTCTAGATTGTCCTTTTACAATACAAATTGGCATAAGCCACAGTTGTATTTTACATTTGTCAAGAGATAGCACTAGGTCTGTCATAACTAGGGCTCACATTCAACAAGTATTCTTTTAAAGCTGTTTCAATTGTCTGCCTTTAAAACAATCGTGTGTGTGTGTGTGTGTGTGTGTGTGTGCGTGTGCGTGTGCGTGTGTGTGTGTGTGTGTTGGGGGGGCGGTTAGAACATCCTCAAGTGTCTACTGTCCCTGCTGTCCACCTCACTGTCTCTTGTTGCTCACTGCTGCATACACTAGGCTGGCTGGGCTGAAAGCTCCCAGGAACGCTCCTGTCTCCATCCTCCATCTCACCACTGAAGCCTTGGGATTGCAGACATGTACTACTAGGTCTTGCTTTACTGGATTCTGGGGATCTGAACTCATGTTCACCTGTTTGTTCAGCATGCCTTTTACCCACTGAGTGATCTCTCCAGCCTTCAACCTTCTGCCTTTAAGTGAATGCTTCATAGTGAAGGACAGGACTGTGCTTACTTTGTATTCTCTCCTATCGGTAACTCCCGTATCTCCCAGGTGACTGGTTCCTCCAAGGGGCGGGACCTGCAGCGGAGAAGAGACTACTGAGTGGGGCTGCTGGGAGCCATCTGGGGACAGAAGCAGAGAGCAGCCTGGAACTGGTGGGTATGGGGAACCCACCTGGTGGGCGTGGAGGCAGGGAGGCGGGCGTGGAGAGAAAAGATGGCCCTGGCGTCTCACCCTTGTTGTGAGAGGGGGCATTTACCAACCCAGAACGAGACTTTGGGCCCAAGATGCATGGGCAAATGCTAGTGGTGACTATGGGCATGTAGGGGGAGAGATGTGGTTTGGCGGGCTCTGAGCTGCCTCGCAGAGCTGGGCTGCCTGGAGCTGTGGAGCTAGGCACTGGGTGTTCCTTTCTCTGTAAGTCACCCCACCCCCAGATAATAATACATGTACATAAAGATATGTTATAGGGTTTGCCTGATAGCGCAAGAGACCTAGAGAGAACTGTGGCGACACCCCACTACTGTCTTCCATTTGACACTGGACATTATTCCGGCAGAGGACCTTTATAGAAATAGAGATATTCATGAATACGGCTTTTAAAAAGTATTTTATTTTACGTGTATGACTGTATTGTCTGCATGTATGTAAGTACCCTTGTTGTGCAATGCTGGTGGAGGCCAGAAGAGAGCACTGAATCCCTGGAACTGGAGTTATGGATGGTTGTTAGCCACCATGTGGGTGTTGGGAATCAAATCCAGGCCCTCTGCAAGAGCAGCCAGTGAGCCATTTTAACTACTGAGCCATCTCTCCAGCCGGAATATGTTTTTTGTTGTTGTTATTGTTGATGGTTTCTAAGATAAAGAGTTCCATATATTCTTTTTAAGAATAGAATTGTAAATATCAGTATGATTGCATTTTGATTCTTTTTGTACATTGTACATCCTATAAAAACTGACATGGATTTTCCTGCTGTAGGAAAGTAGTTTGGGGTGGGTGATGCAGAAGATCATCATCATAAACATGATATATCCTCAGAATTTTGGAAGGTAATTTATCAACAGGCCTAACACTGAGCAAAGTATCTGACTCTAGTAGTCAGAGGACTTAGCATCTGACAAGAAGCCCTGCTAAGAGGAGAGATTTCAGTTCTTTACCAGAATTTCATCTGGGTATATTTCTGTTTCCCTTTGACATATTATTTTTCTCATGTGTGCTAGCTTGCATGCATGCGTGTGTGTGTGTGTGTGTGTGTGTGTGTGTGTGTGTGTGTGTGTGTGTGTGTGTTCTCTGGATTTGGAAAACTCAGGGCTCAAATCTCAGTGCTTCCTTTAACTCATAGTAATCTGGGGACCCTTGATCTCTTCAAGAGTAAAAAGAAAATAAAATTGGCAGGTTGACTTTATGAATGATCATCTATCAGGCTTATTCCTTGAACTACTTAAAGTGGCTAATTTGGACCTGCAATTTATAAACATAGACTGTTTGGATTTAATTATGTAGTAATTGTTCTTGTCACCTATGTAGCCACTAAGTTCTTATTTACTAATTCTCAAAGAATTAGACCCTTTGACTATAATTGGTGATAAATTTTTGAGAAGGGCTCTCACTGCATAGCCCTGAGTGACTTGAAACTCTCTATATAAATGTGGCCTTGAACTCACAGAGAGTTACCTACCTCTGCCTCACAAGTGCTAGGATTCGAGAAATGCGCCATGGGGGCTGGAGAGATGACCCAGCAGTTAAGAGCACTGGTTGTTCTTGCAGAGGACCCTGGTTCAGTTCCCAGCACCCACCTGGCAGCTAACAACTGTCCACAACTCCAGTTCCAGGGGACTATGAAGCCCTCTTCTGACCTCCCAGGGCACTGCATGACACGGGTTCACTTACATACATGCAGTCAATATACTCATATGCATAAAATAAAAATAATAAATACATTTTTTAAAGATGTGCAGCACCATACCTGGAGAAGATGATTCTAATAATAGATTTGGGATACAAATGGTTGAATTATTCTAAAGTTAATAGATTAAAACTACATACAAAGTCTTTTGTAGCTTGTGCCATTCTTTAATCTTCTGTGTTGCTTAGTTATGAAGAGGAGCATTAGCAGATCTGATTTTTATTGACATACTTCTGCACCCTCCACATGATGGTTAATTGTGATCATCTCCTTGACTAGATTAAGATACACATAGGAGATTAGAAAAGCACTTCTCTGGATGGGTCTGTTAGGGTACTTCCAGACAGGGCTAAGTGGAGGTCGAGGTACCGCCCTGAATGTAGGTGACACCGTCACATGGACTGGGGCCAGGACGTCGTAAGAGGGGAAGACACTTAGCCTGGTGCTGGCATAGCCTTCTGTGAGTTTCCCATCTACCAAACCGTGAGGAGAACCCTCCCCGCCTCCAAACACATGGGCCAAGCCAGCGCGGACTGAATCCCGCGAAACTGTGAGCCAGGCTAAATCCTTTCTTTCTCAGGTTTCTATTCAGTCACAGCAATGCAAAGTGGTGCATGCCGTTTGCCGTTGTGCTTGAGGTCTTATCTAGGAGTGTATGCAAGCAGAGTTCTCAGCATCACCAGAGTTATGTTATACCCCATTTTACTAACCTGGGACCACTGTACACTGTCTGTTTCCACGGTGGAACCAAACCTCTGCTTACACCTTTACTCGGCTCCAAGTCTCCCCCCTCCCCCTCCCCCCCGTGTCCTCCCTGTGCTTCTGTGGTAACTGTCTACTCCTCAGCAGCCTCCTCACACGCTCTTTCCAACAGATGCTCTTGGTTTAATGAACTATGGAACTTGTTCCCTGGGAATGTTTGATATATATATAT